CGCTGCTGACGACCGCCGCTCCTCCCGCAGTGGCCTTCGGGGAACACTCCTTCTTGGCGACCGTCTCCGGCCAGAAGCTCTTCGTGGTGAAGCGGCTCAACAGCGTCCCGGAGCCCGTGATCGTCTGAGCGGGCCGAGGGGCGACTTCGGGTCCGGGGGCGAGGGCCGGGAGCCTCACCTTCAGCCGCTGTTCCGCCCCTTCCTGGCTCCCGGAGGGGCTTGTCACACCTCAAGACCCGAGGCAGAGCAGCCTCCCTCCTCGGAGGGTCCTGCGCCTGTTGTGTGCTCAGGACCTCCTTCCTTTCTCCCTCCTGTAACTTTGCCTCCCTCCAAAGCTCCCCCACAACAAAGCAGAGAAAGTTTGCTAAGCAGTATCTCCCCCACCCCCCAAAATGCAGGAAGGAGAGTGATGCAGACCCCGAGTTCACAAGCTCAGGGTGAGGCGACCTTACCGTTGCACACCTTTCCTGTCTAGAAAGCGCATTGAGGCGTTTTATCATTCTGGGCCAAAAAAATCCTGATGCAGCCACGATTCCCTCTCAGGCCGCCCCTTCCCTGCTGCTTGTCCCCACTTTGGGGGAATGGGCCTAGTCCTGCACAAATGCCTGGCATGTTGTTGAAAGATGCTAAAGCATTTCACCCTCTCTGATCATCTCAGCGAGATGCTTCTTCAGTAGAAATTGGCCTATGGAGGATTATCTGCCAAGCATTTAGTATGTCACTTGCTGTTCCAAGGGGGAGCAAAGCTGCAATTAAACCAGCTTCCTCAATGTATGTTTGCTAGTTGCTTTGGTTGGCTGGAACTAAAGAGGGATCTAGGCAACTGATGGCAATCCAGCACTGACTATTATATCTGACCACATCTGGAAGATGAGGTGAATTCACATTCTGTTCAGAAGCAGAGGAAGAACAACAGACAGAGGCTGCTGCCAGAGGACACCCCTTACTCCTCACCAAAGAGGTCCACAAACCATGTTGTTTGCCGGCCAGCCAGTGCAGTTTATTTGCAAGCACATACATACACAGTTGGGGTTGCTTCTGAGCAAATACAAAAATATAAATAACAAAAATTAAATAAAGTGCAATGGAAGGGCACCTGGGCCTGAGATGCTGAGGTAGGGGGAGGGCTACAGACTTGCCCTCTCCCATCTGAGAATACAGCAGGTACTGGGAGAGAAGGAAGATGGCAGGGCTCCTCTGGGAAGGAGCCATCTTCCATGTCACACCCTGTGGCCTAATCCAGTGCGAAAAGGAAAAACCAGCTTGGGAATGTCTGGCAGCTAAAGTACCCTTCTACTAGCATTGCCTTTTAATGGTGACATCCACTGCTGTTCGTACCTCGGTTTTGGGGTGGGTGGGGGAGCTGCTCCCTTCTCTCTTGGCTTCCAGGCTGTTCCCACAGAGGACAATGAAAATCTCATCGCTGAAGGAGCGTGAAGAAAGCAGGGTGGGCAAGGGGCAGCAGTACCTGGAGAGGAGAATGGTGCCACAGTTGGGAGACTTGGCAAGGGTGCAGCTTAAGGGTCCTTTTGAGGAGGGGGGGAATGACTGGAAGAAGGGGGGGTAGCCCCGTGAAGTTCAGGTGGCTGGAGCAGAACGTTTTCTGATCGTGGCCTGGAGAGACTGGGTGGCAGATACCGTGGGTTGGTTCCAGGGGGAGGCTGAATGCAGCCAGCGCTGCCCCTTCTGGGGGAATGGAGGGGCCCCTCTTCTGTCATGTTACAGGTGCTAGCACCAGCACCTTGCACTCTCGTTTGGCAATTTTGTCAAGGGAAAGAGCGGCCTTGTCCGGGGGCAAGTAAAGGGGGCGGCCCACTGGGGAGCCTACTGGGGGGGTGATGGCCCGGCGTTCCATGACACTTCCTGACCTGTTAGGGGGAGGGAGAGAGAGAGAGAGAGAGCACACGTCAACAGGGCAAAGCAGGAGTCTCTCGTTTTTTCTCCCCAGTGTGCCTGATGTCTGCAGAACCCAGTGTTGGTTCTCCCCAGCCACTCCCCCCACCACCACCAAGGAAGAGCTTCCTCTACAGCACCCACCTCAGGAGGTGTCCCCGTGCTGGCTGCTGGTGCGAGAAGCTCTGGGAGCGCCCAAGGCTGGCCTGATGACGCCCCACCAGCTCCCGGACCGCTGGGCTCCCAGGGCTGCTTTTGCGGGAGACTGGCCGGGCCTCTGGGGGTGGGTTGGAAACGCTGGCTGTGAACTGGAGCTTCAGCTTCATGTGCTGGGACAACTGGGCAGGGAAAGGAGGAGAGGAAGAGTCAGCTTATCTTGGCTGGTGTGGGCATTCTGTAATGCAATGCTGAAACTGGGTTTAACTAAGGTATGTCATCTCACAGCGGGCAGGAGGATCCTGGCTTGTTAAGCCAGCTGATGTCATGTCTATGTTTGGTCAACGTGTGTGGGCATTTACCTCGAATAAGCCAGCACGCAGGGCCTGGAATGTGACACAGAAAGTGCGGGCGCTGCCCTTGCGGGAGAATCCTAGGTTGTTGAGAGGGGTGTGGCACACAATTGAATCTTGAGTGTCTTGCGTGGCACGGCATTCATCGCAGGCCAGCTTCTTCCCTAAGGGTCCGGGGTCAGAGCAAGGACAGTTAGGAAACGTAGGCATGGGTTTGTACAAAGACCCAGCGTGCTCCCAAACTGATGCCTCAGGGAACCCCCGTGCAACCAGTAGCTGCAAATCAGCCAAACTTCCCTAGAACAGCTCGCCCTATCTTCCTGAAGAGTTACGCATCCCATCCTTCTGGTAACCGTCCTGCCCCACCCTGGCCACTCACCTGCAGCAGCACTTTCTGGTGTCCACACCAAGCGCACCGCCAGGAAGTCCTGCAAGTTGTTGATGAGTGTGTACGTGACTACAAAGCGTCGATGCAAGACAACTGGTGACTCGCATTCTGCAGTCATCACAAACCTGGGACGGGCAAGACGGATGCTTGGCAGCCTAGGAGAAAAAGTGAGAGAACGTGTGTCTTCACGCCTGCGTGCCCTAAAGCCACTCTGGCCTGAAGTTCTTAGATTTTGATCCTGCCTTTCCTTTGGTATCTCAAGGGGGTGGAAGTGGCACGCTCTCTAGCTTGTTTCTCCTCAAGGTAACAGAGAGTTGGGCTGACACAGAACACTGGGCCCCAATTCACTCTGAGCTTTTGCTGCCCCAGGTGCACCAGAGAACCCTTGTGGTCCTTTCCACCGCACACCTCTATGATTCTGGGCCTCCCCAGCCTCTAAACGCCACATCCCCTCTGTAGGAGAGGGCAATGTCTACACACAGGAATAAATTAAAAAGGCAGCCTACATACTTTAAAACCAGGCTTTGAACTCTTCTCCAGGAGTTCTTTTGTTCGCTACTGCAAGTGAAAATGGCCACTGCAGGTTATCAAAAGCCTTTTCTTCATCTAGGAAGATTAGAATACTTCAAGCAGGTCCCTGGCCTCTACATCCATGGAGAGGAATATAAGCTTAAATGTTTTGCAGGTGATGGAGTACAAAGTGCATTAAGACAGTTGATGAAAATAATCCAAGGCTTTGGAGAATTCTCCAGGTATAAAATCAATGTTCAAAAAGCAAAAATAATTGCAAGATACTTTATGCAAGAAGATTTCCTATGGAAGGAATCTGGCTGCCAGATAATAGATTCAGTGAAGTATCTGGCTTTGTATCTGACAGGCAGCAATCAAGAAGTATATCAAAACAATTATGTTAAACTAGGGAAAGAAATTTAAAGAGAGGTGAAAAAACTTAAAGATGTCTTGGTTAGGATCAGCTGCAACTATTAAGATGAATGTATTACCCAAGATACACTACTTGTTTCAAGTGGTGCCAATTCTAATCCCAGAAAAAACATTACAAGAATGGCAAAAAACTGTTAATAAATTCATATGGAGTGCGAAAAAAACCTAGAGCAAAATTCAAAATTTGATAAGACTCAAAAGAGAGAGATGGTCTTGCTCTTCCAAAATTCAAATTATAGAGCAAGGTGTCTGTCATGGCTAACAGAATGGATAATATCCCTGAACAGGAGAATGTGAATATTGGGAGGAGTCGGCCTAGCTAATGGGCTTCGCAGATACTGTATTAACGGTACAGGGATATGAAAGTGGACAAAAATGGAAAAGAACATATTCTAAGATGATAAAAGTATGGAACCTTAAGTCTAGTAACTTTGCTGCTAGCCTCTCCTTTAAATGCTTTTCATGTTAGAGATAACGATAGTAAGAAAAGTGCAATTACTTATACAGCTATATAATACAGCTATGGTCCATTCGGGCTCCATGAATAGACTAAAAACACAGAAAGAACTACTTGATGAAGGCCAGAATATACCACGATTGATGTACTTGCATCATTTGTTGGAAGAACAAAACCTGGCCTAAAAAACGAGGGATGGCTTCTAAGAAAAAGGACAGAATTTGAAATACTCATACAAAATCAAGGCTACCTACTATATAAACTCTTACTTAGATTTGATATGGTGTAGTAGCAATGTGGAAGACCATTGTTATTTCTAGCAGTTTAGGTGACATATTTTGATTTCACCTGCACATTTTAAGAAAGTACACTCTGAGTCATAGTAAGGTGTAGCCAGTGCTTTGACAATTGGCAAAACATACGGGCACAGAACAAAGTAAAAATTGTGTGATAAAATAGATGCAAAACTATTTTACAACAATGAAAATTTGGAACAAATCTATAAAATTCACCCCAAGTTATCAACTAAAAGAAAACTGGTATAAAATGTTCTATAGAAGGTAAAAAGGTAATGGATGGGGATTATGTTTGGGGGAATTGCAAAGATATCCTGAAGTGTGACTCACCCACCACAGCCCTCTCTAGATACATTTCTGAGAAGGGGATAAAGATTGAAGCAAATACCAATTGTCCAATTTTATTTTTCATTAAATGCATTTCTGAACAAGCTGGCACCAGGCAAGCTGCATTATTAAAAGGAAATATGCAGAACCACAATCCCCGAGTTGTGCAGCGAACCCCTGATGTTTGTGGTGGGTTGCATACATCTCATTTCTCGGCCCCCCCGAAGCCACTGGGAAGAGTCCCGTTAGTTTGGAGTGAAGGATCATCAGTATAATGATGCTCCTTAGCTGTGCACCTCCACTCAGAGCTGAACAGGAGCTGTTGTAGAAGTTCTTATCCTGCGTCTGAAGGCTAACCCCCAGGCAAGACAGCTGGGACTGAACCTCAGCCCTGGGTGGCTCTGGAAAGAGCCGGTTTCCCCAGAAGGAGAGGTCTGCAACCTGAGAGTGTTCCCGCACTCATGGCGCTAGCCAGATCAGCAGCCAGGAACGTGCAAGATGAGCTTTGCAGCCCTTGTTCAAGCAGCGGCCACGTAGGCCCTCGTTATCCCCAAGTCTCCTCCAAGCCAGTCTGCTGGGAAAGGGGAGAGTCAGGCCCCCTCAGACTGGGATATGGATCAGGATGGGCTCCCAGCTGCAGCGCTTCTCCTAGAAAACCTGGCCAGCTCCTGCACTGACCTTCACCGAAAAGGAGGGAAGATGCCAGCTTCTCCAAGAGTAGTATCTGTGCTTGGCTTCCAAGCCATGGCAGTGGACTATTTTATGTTGTGCTGAGTTTGAAGAGTTGTAATGTTTATGGCTTCTGTGATTTGATTTGTAAACTGCCTTGAGATGTGTAATTGTGGCAATACAGAAATACTGAAACTAAAAATACCCAACATATATAGTATTTGCGCAAAATTTCCTAACAGGAAGAACTGTTCAGTCCTGAAACTGACTTCCTCAGCTCCTGGTGGTCCCTCCTTCATTGGAGGTGCTCAAACAGGCTGGATGGCCATCTGCTGGGGGTGCAGAGCAGTAGCATTGGATCCCTGTCCCGGGGGGAGGGGGGATAGACTAGAGGATCTCAGGGGTACCCTCCAATCCCTACAGGCGAAGCGCCTCCTTATGCTCACGGCTGCCTGACACTGAAGCGTCACTTTCAGCGTAGCAGTTCCCAACCAGTTTCTTTATGCTGGCTGTTCCGGCATCTCTGAATGCTTTAAGGACAAGGAGTTGGCAACGGGGCAGCTGCTAAATGGGGTTCACAGAACATCAAAGTTAAATAAAAAGTATTTTTAAAAATAAAATGCCCAATATTCCACAAGACTTGTTTGTGTGCCTATATAAAACCATAAGAGAGGTTTTGATATTTGTGGCTTTCCTTAATATGTGCCTGTCTGGCCATCCCCACTAGGAACCCTGGGCCACACCCTGGAGATCCCATGTCCCTGGACCAGAGCTGCGCTCCACTGCTTTAATAACAAAACAAAACCCTCATGACCATGCCAGGGGGTGGGGGGTATCCAGACACTGGCAGCAGCTGGCCCCCACTTGTCCGTGTGGTCATACTACAATGTGTCTAAGCTGACTGAATCTGCCAATCATGGTGGCCATTTTTACCTGGATGATGCAGACATTTCATCAACACCAAAGTGAAGCAGGCCACTAAAAATTCTCCATTTTAGGCTTCACGTGTTGCTCTGTCAGTCAAGAGGCAGCCTGGTTGGGTAACCCCAGGTAGACATGACATACGCTGATACCCCACAGTAGACCTTTCGTGGTGAAGGCCTTGTGGGCACATCCTGCTGGGTTCCGGCCACACACTGCCCAACTTTTCTGCCTAGCAGCCTGGCCTCCAAGTGTCAGCCATTTGCAGGGTCCCTCCCTGAAGCTCTGTGGTGAAGTCCTTGTGGCCTGAAGGGTTAGCAGTGCTTGACATAGCTGCCCTCTGCCCCCAGCACAGGCCTGAATGTGGCGGACCACCGGCTCCAGGACTACTTTCTGATAGCAGCAGCCTGAATGAAGGAAAAGGAGATTGTGGAGGGAGTACGGCGAGCAGAGGTGGCAGAGGGCACCTGGCAAAAGGAGACCATGGAGACTTTATCTAGTTTGTGACTGTGGAGAGGTGGGAGCAGACGCAAAGGGAGCATGGGGGAAAGGAGGGCGACCGGCTGCTGCACACTTCACCTCCAGCTTCAGCTGGTCTCTGCTCATGCCAAGGCTGGGCAGCTTATCCTGCAGACCCCTGAGGCTTCCAAGGGACTTTGGGGCTCTTCTTGTCCTTCCAAGCCAGGAGGACCCTCCCCTGCTATACTGTCAAGGGGCCCTCCCTCATCTCTGGTGCCAGCCAGAATCTCCTCAGAGCACCCTGGGGCTGGCCATGTTCTTCTTCCTGGGCCTCCAAAGAGAAGGGCCAGTTCTTGGCATGGGCTTTGGCGGAGGGTGCCGAAGGAGTTGCTCACCTGTAGTGCGTGTAGATGCTGCTCGTGAATGGTAGCTTGGGGGTCGACCACTGCACCACCGCGATGAGAGGAACCTCAAGGCCCTGTAATTGTCAGGCGAGAATGACTGGCAGGCCCCCTGCCTCCCTCTCCCACTCGGCGCTGCACGTGCCCGGGCAAGGAGGGGCCTTCCTGAGGTCACGCGGCAAGGCCCTGTTGCGGAATCTCACCTCTTTGGTGCTGTCAGGTGGCTGCTCTGGCGCCTGCAGCTGGAAAAGGAAGTTTTGTTCTTCAAGCGCACGGAGGGAGCACGGCCAAGTGGAGGTGGCAGAGGGGACCTGGCAAAAGGAGGCCATGGAGACTTCGCCGGACTGGTGGCTGTGGAGAGGTACGAGCAGAAGCATGGGCAGCGTAAGAAAAACGTGCAACCGTTTCCCAGCCCCCTCCCTCCCTCCCTCTCTCTCACGCACACACACACCTGCTTTCCCTGCAAACACCAATTCTAGGCATTAGATGGGGGGGCAGGGGGGAGTACTGCCTCTGCCCACAGCCCGCCATGGCTGGGAAAAGAGAAGGATTTAATGCCAGGTTCTGCCATGCAAAAGAAGCTCCCTTCAGAGCTCATGGAGGAGAGCAGGGGGCACCCCTTGAGGCAAATGCAGGGCACGAGCTCCTGGCATCTGCCTTCCCAGCAGCTTCTCCTCAGCCCCTCCTCAGCCCCTCTTGGGAGCAGCCCAAGGTGACCCCCCAGGAATGAGAAGCCTAACCCTTCCGTGGCTTTCTCCTTTTTTGTGTAATGGCCACTTCTGGCAAACCGGCCTGCATCTGTCCCCCTCCCCAGAAAGCAAAATCCCCCGATGGGCAAGGTGAGGGAGAAGTACCTGCTGTGGCTCGTCCAAACACCAGTCCTTGAACTGGCATTCAGAGAAAGTTGGGTTCAGTGAATGGGCCCACTGAGACTTGGTTTGGGCTATTAAAAAGCAAACATCTGTGGGCGTGTTTTGAACATTTAGAAGAGCAGGGAATGGCAATTAGATGCCCCCCCCCC